GACTTGAGATGAGATTATTGGTGTTAGAGAACTCTTGACTCAACCTATGATGCTTACAAACTCACACAATGATATTCTTTATGCATATGATTCATTTATATGATTAATCTAATCTTTTAGCACTAATCTCTTTGCTAATTACCAAGTCAAGAACTAATTCTCATTAGTAAAATGATAAAGAGCAAGCATTAAGACAAATCTATCAACCCTATATTGCCAAATGACTCCTTAGACAGTCAATCTCTTGAGCTAGGATAAGCAATTCTCTTGCAAAGCAGTTCAGGCATTTCATCAAACACTTGGTGGGCATAAAATGAGCCTAAGATCTTAATCAACTTAGCTAGGGCTAATCAAGCATTAAACACAGCAATCAAGAAAGGAAATGAAAGAATTAACACTAAGCAATCATAGATAGAGCTTCAAATTCCCTAAACCTAACTCATCTCAAATCCCTAAAAGGACTACTCACTAAGCACCATTAAAACCATCAATCCAAAGAGAGAAGGATGACTAATCATGATTAGAAATCTTAAACAAGATGAAAGATGCAAACTTTAATTAAAATCAAGAAAAGATTCAAATTACAAAACCCAAGGGTCTAAACAAAGAAGAAAGAACTACTGGATAAAAGCTTGTTCTACGAAATTAAGGATTTTTCATATTTACAGGAGTCTAAGCAAAAATGGCAAAATTGTAAATAAATGGTCTTCTGTCTAGGTTTACATCGGTCAGCAACAACAGTCAGGGTTGATCGATGTAAATCCCATCGGTCTGGGCAGTGATCGATGCTGGTGACCGAAATTCATCCGCTGGGTTTATGTCGATCACTTCTGATCGATGCTGGTGACCGAAAATCTGGTATCGGTCACTCTTTGACCGATGTTCACCGTGCTCTGACCGAATACCTTTGCAGAGATTGTCTGCTTTGATCCTTCTTGCTCCCTTTGATCCAGCTAGCATCATGAATCATACCCAAAGCTCCTCCAAGCTCCTTTTAGCTCCAAGAGCACCTAAAAACATCCAAAATACAAGAAAAATGCAAACTATACCCTAAATGCAACCTAAGTCTAAAAGGAGAAGAAAATGGGGCAAAAACTAAGAGAAAACATGCATAAGAGAACCAAAACATGTACTGAATGCTGTCCTAAATGGTGTAAATACAAGGGATATCAATTTACAAAAGAATTAGATTTTTAGAATATTAAAAGAATTAGATCTTCTCTCAAAATGGTGGATTATTGGATATTGGATGGATCACTTCTTCAGTGATTTGCACTTCTATTTATATGGAAGCTAGGTCGGTTGAGTTAGATCTCCTTTTCTTTTATAACTTTATATTTTTCTTTATCTAGAAAATTGTCTTTTCCAATGAGATGTTAGGGTTTAATTAATTAGTCAAACAGGATGATCTTGATTTGGGCAGGACTTTAAGAGATGATGCTATGCCTATCACTAACAAACCCTCAAACTTGTGCAACAGGGAGCTCAATAAAATTATCCTATTGTGAATAGCCTTATCTACATGTCTAGAGAGTTGTGAGTGAGATGTCCAACTTTTTTATGCCACCTTAAGCAAGATGGAATCAAGAAATGCAGATCTTGCATGAAGTAGATGATTCACGGTATCCTCCCTATCTGGTGTTGAACAGGAGCCAAGAAGATTACCCGCTACAACCAGCTATACTGTGTACGAGTAGGGGAATGCAAAAATGATTGATCTAATTAAGATCTCAAAGGCTTGACCGATTACAAAGATGGCATGACCTAGAGGTTTTGCCGAAGTGAATAAAGAACTTTATGAGTAATGAACTAGAAAGCTTGGAACATTAGGTCTTGTTGTTCACCTCTCTAGGGATTTCAGATATAGTCTTCAAGCTGTCCATGGTCCTTTATTTATAAGATTCGGAGAGTCGCATCCAGTAAACTCCTTTTCCCTTATTCTTTAGGCATATTTCCCATCTTTCAAATATGGAAAAATCTTTTTTCTTTGATTTAATGGAGATTTTTCATTATCCTCAAGTAGTTTTCTTTTATTCAACAGGTCGGCATGATTTTTCTTATATTGATGGCCTTAAGGTTATTGCTAGAGAAGGTCTTCTAAAAAATATGCTCATATTCCCTATTAAATAAACCCCCCCCCCCCCCCACTTCTTCGAGGTAATTACAAATTCGCTCAGCAAACTTCATGAACTGTGTATGGCTTGCAATAAATGCTAGTTCGTCAAGAGTATCCTCCTCAATTTTTTCGAGAAGCGGATCAAAATGCAGCGTTTCATTAAAACTTGTTTTAATGGGCATGCCCTTTACACAAACCAGTTTTCAGTAGGCAGGAAATCCAAAGGTTTTCAGACGGCAAGAATGCAAATCTTTACACGCATCTCCTAAATAAACCGTTGATATTTCTTCTATAGTCTTTATCTCAACATCCTCCTCGTTTCAAGGTAAAAATCCTATTCTTTTATTTTTTATCGCTTAACTATTCTTGCTAAACTCTCTCTTT